ACTGAGAGGTGTGAATAAGAAGAATGGAAAGAAAACGTGTAGTCAGAATGACACAATAAATCTATGGAAATAACTATGAGGAGATGAATTCAAAAGAAGGACTTGAAAGATGGAGACAGTAGAAGAGGCTGAACAATGGGAAGCATGGGATTTTGTGGAGATTGCATGGTTAAAATTACAGGAAAGGAAAAATAAAGACTAAACAACTAGAGATGTGGGAAAATGTAGCAAACATTTCCTCGCCAAATTGAAGGATGACAAAGCCATGGATTAAAAAAAAAATTGGCAATGTGAGGAAATTGTTTTGGATATAAAGGAAAAAGATTAAGATGGTGGATGAAGATGCAGGGAGGAGAGCTGCTTTGCTTGTATTATTGTGGCACATATATATCCTTAGCATAGATCCCAGTCTCATTATACTGAGATGGAGTACAGTATAAGACAGATGTTGTTTGTCCCCCCAGAGGTGAAAAAGCCAAGTATAAAACTGAAGACAAAAAATGAAGGCAGATAGAAGATTCAGGGAAACGTGAAACAATAGTAGACAACATGAGTAGTTGTGTGACCTACACAGCAATGGACTGAGGTCTTCCAAGGTGTTTTCCTTGTTTCTTTTTTGATGAACATCATAGCAAAGGGAAGAGTTTGAGGGGGGATTGTTTTGTGGACACTTACGGAGACCTGGTGCTAGGCATAAGAAGCCACATGGAAAAAAATACAAAAGTGCCTGTCCAAAAATATTTAGGTGAGTGAGAGTGACTGTCTGTGTTAATTGACTGGAGCCAAGGGTAGTTTTGATAAAATTGATCAAGTAGGTATGGACTATAACAAAATAAGTAGCATGCCTTTGTGTTAGGGAGCGGCAGACTGATGGCAAAATCTGAAGAGAATGCCCAGTATGTTCAGAAAGTAGGCTCTGCAGTGCTCCAACTAGATACAAGGAGGAGTAAAAATTAATTTGTGGAGGCCAGAGAAAAGGATATGGCAGTAACTGAGGTGTGAAGTAAGAGCCTAGATAATTTTTTCATGTAGATGGCTAGAAGGAGTTTTAGCTTAGATTATGCAAAAAGGATCTGCAAGATGTAGATGTATTCTGCCACAGGAATCTAAGCAGAGCTAGAGTTAAAAAAAGAAAGTGATAACAATCAACAGTGATGGAGAGCTATTAGGTGAAGACATGAGATGTTGTTTTTCAGGCAGATTAAGCATAAGTAGGTGATCTGACAGCCATGATTTTGGTACTTGTTCCCAAGTGCAAATCAACAGATCTAAAAAAATTGCATGTTTACAGTGATAAGGGGAAGTACAGTATTTTTGGTATTAATAGAAATAATTGCAGATTTAGAGAATAAGTAAAATGGATTGTAATGCAAATGAAATTTTAGCTGGAGCGACTGCAACCAGGGCGACCTATAAAGGTACGATTCCTGATTTTTTTCTTGTACTGATTGTATTTTTCAGAACAACATCTTCTGAAAAATTATAATGAAGTCATTAGATTTTTTGTTACACTTTTTGCAGATTATATATCTGCAAGTTTTTAGCTGACAGATTTGGGTGAGTGCCTTAATGTATATCTTACCTTTTTATCCATTCTCTTTTGTTCCAGTTAGCACCTTCTTCAGAAGTGGCAAGCTCACAACACTGTTAAGTGTTTAGTCACTCTGTGTGCCAGAGTCTTTCTCCATTGGTTTGTCCTTGCATCCTTCCCATTCCATCTTAATTGGTGATGCCAGTGGCAACATCCACTGGCAGTAAGAATACAGCTTGCATTGCCCTATTATTACTAGCCATTGAGTTTGTATGTGCCACTCAATTTGTAGGTGCTAATAACTCTTCCCTAGAGAGCAGCATTTTAAAGAAATAAATGTCTAGCCTGTTAGAAGTAATGTAGAAATTAACTACCATGGGTTTATGGTCACTCTTGCAGATAGTTGCATTCAAATACAGTGTAGAACTAGATTATCTCAGCCACAACAGCATACAAATTTGAGTTTTAAAACACTAGAATGTTCTCAAAGTATAAATGAATAGAAGGTAGAAGTATCCAAATCTTGGCTACTCAGTTTCTAATACAGAAAAGGAGTTCTTCTGAGGAGAGTGCATCATTTCTTAGTGTAGAATACTGCAAGCTTTGGACTTAGTGTTCACATCAGATCTTTGTTTTGTTTTTAAGCGGGGTTCTGTTTTTAACAAGCTGCAGATGGTTTTGTGGATTGTTAGGATGAGCGGCAGCCTGGCTAGCTGAATTACTTTTCTCTGGGTGTACTAAGTGTGCATTTGAATTAGACTTCCAGAACTGATACAAGCATGTCCTCTCCGCTGTGTAATGAAAACACCATTATCCTCCTCTGTCAGCATCTGTGTCGAGACTTCTTTATTTGGTTAGGAGATAGGTACCTAGATTGGAGAATGGGAATGTCCTTGTCACGTTCAAAGTAGTAACTTTCCTTCATTTTTGCCTTATTTGTGTATAAGCTTTGGATATAATAGGATAAACTAAAAGGTTTCCTTTAGAGACCTCTGAAAGTAGAGCATTTTAAAAGCAGGTAGGTGTCTCCACCCTACTTTTTCATGAAACATTTTACCCATTCAAGCAGACTTTTAAAAACAGCTTGTTTTGATAGCAGCCTGTTCTCCTGTGGGCCTTCAGCCTTTGCTTCCTGGCAGCACCTTTGGTGCGAAAAGAGAGTGATCAATTGGGAGACTATCAGTGCCAGCATGCATAGAGTGATAAGTTAACACACCACTGGGAATTTCTAGGGCCCACCAAGATACTTCACTTCTAATGTGCTAACAAGCTCATTTTTCTACCTCTTGCCTCTTCAGTTATTTTTTTTTCTCAGGAGAGCTTAGAAGTTGAGTGCATCAGGCATAATGAAAAGCTCTGTAGGAGGGAGAAGCAATAACCCCATTTTTCCCTTTTCAGCCAAATAGAAAATTAGTTTCTGGTAATACACAAAGGCCAGTATTTTTTGTGCAAGGGGCACTGCTGTGAATCAAAGGACTCTATTAACTGCAGAAAATTCAGCAGCTGTGAATCTCCCCCAATGAAAAAAGTGCTTTTCAACAAGTTGTGAGATACGTAGTATTATTTAGACTTCAACCATCAGTTTCATCCTCTACCACTTATACATAGCCTCTTAAAAACTGTGCTATATTACTCTCCTCTGTTAAGGCTCAATACTGTGTTTATCCCCCAACCTAAGAACCATTACAATGGGAGATTTTTATATTTTCTCTTGTCCCAGTGCTTCTATTATAGCTTCTCTAGCCTGAGACTTCTGCTGAGGTTCAGCTGTCTCGGGATCCAGAAAGAATTCGGAACACGGATTTTGGAGGGAAAATTGTTTCCCTGTTTCACTGTGTAACCAAATTGTGGTCTAAGGAAATACAATGAAGATTGACTTATTCACTGGAAGTTATTTTCAGATAATATAGTCTCTATACATTCTTTCATCTTTAGATGTACTGCAAAATCTACTGTAAATATTGTACAGAAAACAACTGCAAAAAGGTTGCATAGGAAAAGTTCCATAATTGTTGAAGTACAGTTTTAAAAGCTACAGCTGGAAACAATACCCTTCATCTTAATTTGGGGCTGACAATTTTATTGTTTGTCATAACTGAAAATAGTATAGTTAGTTATTTTAAATGTTAGCACATGTTATTAAAAACACTTATCACTGGTAATGCAGTTTTTATGTTTGGATTGCTAAAAATGTGTGCAAGGTGACTATTATCCCCATTTCACAGACAGCAAAATTGAGTCTGAAAGGTAGTTTCCTCACTGTCCCTGTTCCCCCCGAAAAGAGCAGCAAACCTGAAATCAGAGCACAGAACCTTCAAGAAACTGATTCTGAGTGCATTCCTCCACAGCATGCTGATTTGTTTGGTGGTTTTTTTAGGAAAAGAGAACTATGTAAAGAGAAAATGATCTTGCTATCTACAAATAAAATATGAAAAAAAAGTGTGCATGAGCATAAATGCCAGGGAAAATCCCTGATCGTTTTATGGTTCTGTAAGATAACTGGAGAAGGTCTCCCTCATTCAACATATTGAGTCCAGCTGGAGGACTTTGAAAGTTGTGAGAGAAAAGGTTAACTGATTTCTCAGTTCAGGAACTATACGACATGAAGTCAGCATGGTAGTTTTTCTTGATAATTGTATGTTGCTGCCTGCTGCTCTACATTTTGACAGCCATTTCCATAGTTGCTTTCATGAACAGCAGAAATATTCTCTCTTTTTCTCGCTCTCTCTGTGCTAACAGCACAATCAGGCCTGCTGGAACAAGAAGCCTGGAGAGGGTTCTTCAAAAGCAGCAACACTTCAAGGTACCGGTCTCTTGTCAATAATACCAGAGAGGGAGAACACAGGGAAAAGGAAGAAGTACAGTGTTTTGCTGTCAGTGCCCTGCCGACACCCTGTTAGCCAGTATTTAAGGGTCCTGCGGATTCTTTACAAATATTCTTGCTTGTTTTAACGGCATAATTGACGAGGTATTTTTCCCAATACTCAAATTTAGCTATGTGTTTATCTTAACTGCATGTGTGTGTGTTTAGGGATTATGGAAGCAGCTTGTTACAGAAAAGTGCAAAATCATTTATTTTGTTAATGCTAATGTTTTTTTTCATGCTATACCTCTTAAAAATTTTAATGTTTTTATATTGAATTGTGACCGGAGTACAGCCAAATCAGTTACTTAAAAGAGAGTATTTAAGTTGCTGCTGTTTGAAAAAATTTTCGAAAGTTTTGCATCACGTGTGGAAAAAAAGATATTTGAACCATAAGGTTTACATTAATCGTGTTTATCTTACAGTTAATATTCAGTGCATCAGATAATACAGTTTTGTAAAGAAAAGAATTAAAAATAAGTCTGTACAGTCACTGAAATACATGCTACGTATCTAACAAAAACAAGAATTCTGAATTACTAGGTGCTGATATTTAGCAGTTACAGTACATGATATAAATTGCTCCTTAATTCTTGGCTAAACCAGTTATGAGGAGAGAGCACGATACCTGCAAACAATTGTTCAACATCATCTAGAGCCTACAACTTTTGAGGATTTTGCTGCTCAGGTTTTCTGTCCAGCACCTTACCACCATTTGCCCTCAGAGACAGGTAAGAAATACAGTAAAGAACTGGGTTTGTACAATCTTACTTGAAATGCAGTATCCTTACTTATAAAGACTAAAAATTCAGACCTTCACACATCATTAAGAGTTACCATTAATTGAAGAGATTATACGTACATATTTGAGAACCTGGGCAAAGTTGCTTTTAAATCTTTATTCTGTTTCCTGGCATCATGAGCCAGTGCCTGGCATTAAGATTTGGCAAGCTGCTTTAATACAGCAACTAGACGCTGTATTTTTACAGTGAATTTTATCATGTTCCCCTGTGTAAAGTCTCCATGGAAGTGTTGCTACTCCTTCATCCAGGCTGGTTCAGGTAGACACGTTCTTTAATCTAAGTACACCTTCCAGATAAGAAAGTTTTAAGGCTCACTATGTTTTTAGAATGTAAAGTTTTAAATTGGAAATCTGAGAGCCTTGCAATCATCAATTTTGTTTCCAGGTTATTAACTGCAAAGTTGTTTTTAAGGTCATTTTTGCCTTCCAGTAAAATACCTGTTTTATAAGAGGATACTGCATTTTCAGTTACTAATGAGAAAATCGGTAAAAGAAAACGAGTAACTCAAGGCCTTCCTGTTCTGAAATTTCTTGAACTCCTTATGATTATTTCATTATTTTATTTCCCCTCTTTTTAGATCATTAAATATCAGTTCTGTTTATCTGAAGGTAAGACAAAGTGTCCAAAAACCCCCTTTGTTCCTCTTACTTTTACTAGATCACTAAGCTTGTAACCAAATTGTATGCGAACTTTCCTTGTTGCCCTTGTTCACACTAAAAAGAATTTCACACTGATTGAGAAATGACCACTACATCTTCTTAAAGTTTTAGTCTTTTACTAACCTCAGGTCTGCATGAAGCACTAACACTGGTTCTGGGATTAAGGTAACTAATGATAGAGACAGTTGTTGAATGAGTAACACTTTTATTGTGTTGACCTTTGTTTCTCAGCATGAACAAGTAGTACTGGATGGCAGTGGTGTGTTTTGTACCCTGTGCTGTCTTTCATTGATGTTGTAAGACATTCTGCAGTGATAACATAGGAGAGAAGGAGAAGAAGAATGTGTAACACTTGAAATTCCTTGTTCAGAAACCTTTATTTAATAACGAATAAATCAAAATGTTTCTGCGGAAAAGCTGTAAATCTAAATACAATAAATTTTGTAAGAATAATTAATTTGGCAAGTTGTTATCTCAACATTTGTTTCTCAATAGCAAAAATATGCAGAAATAAATTCTAACATTATAGAGGAGTTGTGATAGGACTACAGAAAGAATGGCTGAGAGATGTTAAAACTTTGAGACTCTTTTGCTTGAAAGTATAAACCATAAGTAGAAATGAGGTGCAGTTTCAAAGTATAAGTGGTATAGTTATGCTAGTGCAAATAGTCAAGACCAAAAGGAAACAAAACTAAAAGTAATTCAAAACTAATTAAATCAGTATAAAAAGATTGTAACATAATTTAATGTAGAAAAACATTTGAATAGGAAAAATCTGTAACTAGAAACATTAAAAACAATAACCAGGGATACCAGTCCTTGCCACATTTCCTACCTAATGCACTCAGTAAGTATTCAACACCAGACACTTTTGTACAGCTAGTATATATTCCGTATTCTAGTGCAGTTGTATCAGTTCTGCCTATTCACTTTCAGAAATCTCATTCCAGGCTAAATCATTCTGCCCTCTTCCTCTAGTTCATTCTTTTGGGGTGAAGCAAAGCTGCTTTTCTGTACTAGTTTGGTGCATTGGAGACCACTGCTCTACAGTGGCAATTCCTGTATTCCTTTAAAAATCGTCCTAGTCATACTTGGTATTCTCTAACGTGATCTGGAAAAAGATTATAACTTTTGGAAATGATGTTAGACTTAACCTTTCTATCAAACGTAATAATTTTCTGCAGGAATCTCATTAATAGGAGCTTGTGATGTATTTCACATCTGCATGTATGCGCGTGCGTGTTTACATACCACGAAACATGATGTCCTGTCCTGAGGGCCACGTTCTTCTGGACCTTGCACTGTGCAGTGGAGCTGACCAACACATCAGTGTCAGGAGCAGCCAGGAGCTTCCTAGGACGGACATGCAGCACAGTGTGACCTGGCATGAGAGTCAAAGAACCTGTCCCCAGACCTGCCCGTCTCAGCTTTCATTCCAGCACAGGGACGCTGGGGATGCTCTGGCAGCCCTGCTCGCAGCCTGGGGGCTGACCCCTGCTCAGTCCGGGGCTGCTGGGGCTCTGATACTCAGCTCCAGGACAGAGTGCCTGAAGTAGCACCACACCATCTGCCGGAAAGGTTACCCCAGGGCTTGGGGTTAGCCTGGAAACCACTGGTTTCCAGTTCTAGTGAAGGCAGACCTGTGAGCAAGGTGATGACCTAGAACTTTAATGGACCGTGACCCCAAGACTGAGTCCACCAGATGTGCTATTCAAAAAATAGATACCCCTACGTTCCTAGGGTCCCTACAACAGACAGATTTCTTGAAAGATATGTGAAGAGCTCCGAATTGTGCCAGGATTGCACATAGGAGTGGCACTGGAGTCCTGCCCGGCAAATCCACACATGTTCATCACCCCCAAGGTGACCCAGACAAAACCTCGCAGGCTCCCTGCCAGATGTTTCCATGTCATCTGAAAATTTCTGACCAGATTCTAGAAATACATCACCATTTTTTTTTTAACTAAAAGTATTTCATTTATATCTGTTTTTTTAAAATGAAAAATAACTGACCAGAAGAGACTAGAAAAGATTTCCACATTTCAGGTATTATAGCCGTGATTCTTCAATTGGATCATGATCTCCAAGATTACAAATGCTGAATATGTCTAATTTTTATAAAATATTATATACAATTTCTTCTTCTAAGGAAGTTATATACAAACTGTGAAGCTACTACAGCCCATGACCAGGTGTTGTAATTTTGTTGTTGTGATCCTGTTGGCCGGTTTCAGCATGCCAGTTTTTTTCATTTGAGCTATGGTAATCAGAGCAAATAGAGAACATGCCATTTGGTAACAAACTCTGTTTCCTCAGATTGACATATTTCATCAAAGGCTCAGCTCTGAGCAAAAGCCGTTTCCTTTCTTAGAGTGGTTGCTCTTCAATACAATGTGATTGTGGCTGCTGCTGGTTTATCTAGATACTTAGTTTGCCCTGTCAAAATATCTGACAAGTCCACCTTCCCGTGTTGAGGAACCTGACTAGTGTAGTGGATGTGTACATTTAAAAAAATTGAGATTTACCTACACTTAATCACAGAATATAATTCCGTTGCCTCTCTATTTTTTACTTTGTGCTGACTCTGTTAAATAGAGTAACTGCAAATACTCTGTTAAATAGAGTAACTCCTGCTATACAGCTATTGAGTAAACCAGATGTCTGTGACACCAGAATAGGTTGAGGGAACTGTCAATGGTAAGCTCAATGACATTGAAGGGCTTATTGACCCCATGATGCTAAGATTCTGAGCTTTAAAAGGTACTGATGTCTTGGGTTTGTTTTTTCTCTATCTTCTTTTTTCCCCCCCTCTTCCTACTGAAAATAGTACCTCGGTACAGTAAACCTTTTAAAGAAGGGGCCTCTCTCCATCAGTCGTAGTATTTTCCTTGTGAGAAAAGCGTAAGACTTTTTGATCCCAACAATCATTCCTGTATTTTCAAGCCTGTGTTCAGAACAATTCTGCTGCCCCACTCCCAAAGTACGCCTGACAGGCAGGGAAGCAGGGGAATGTAGAAGTAACAATACTTCAGCCTTGCACAAGAGAAACTCAAATTCAACAGCCTGCTGTTGAGCAACTCTTCCGCTGCTTGTCTGCTGGGTAACATTAACTGAGAATCTTTTTGGCACTTCACAGATAAGAATGATGGTGCTTTTCTCACTGTAGAAGGGTCTAAGCAACACTTGTTGATGGTGGTGGGTGAAGTTTGTGACTGGAAGTGAAGGTGAAATATAGAAATGAGGGCTGTATGTCTGGCAGGCCTGGGAAGAGTTTCTCATTATCCCTTCTCCAGTCCAAACTTAGGAAAAATTTTGGTTTTCATACCAAATCAGAGCAAACCCACAAGACTTACTGACATTTTCCAAAAATTTCATATTGGAACAACTGAAGCTGAAACTTTATGCATTTCTGAATTATTGTCCTTACGTCGACCACTTGGGTGATAGTGAGCTGGGGGTCCTCAGCACTTTGATGCAGTAAATTCAGTGTGGACTGCTAGAAATCCAAACAGATCAACTGTCTACATTTAATGAAATGGGTCCACTGAAAAAAATAGAGTATGATTGTCCAGTTAAGAAGCAGCCTATGCATATGCACAAGGGGACAAAACTAAATTTTAATCCTGATGTTTCCTAGTTTTTGAATGTTTGACTGTGAATTTATTGTCTTGTGACATTTTCCTTCCATTTTTGTTTTGTTTAAGGCATAGGGCAAATGCAAATGATGTAATAATAATGTAATACCGATATAATGTAATACCGATTAACAGCCATGTGATTCAGGAGCAAAACTGTAACCTCTAGATCCACCACCACCGCCTGCAGACTGAGATAGGGCAATAATTGGTAGCAATGATAAGCTGTCTTACCTCTGCCTTGAATCTCCACTAGTGGAAAGATTGGGAATTTCGCCAGTGGGTTTCACGGATATTAGTTGACAGAGAGGAATGGGTTACCCAATAGTCATGTTTCCAGCCTGGTTCTGAAGAGCATTCTTCACTAGGTGTGGGCTCTGCCACTTTTTTGCCATAAACTTAATCTTTTTTGCGGTCGTCTTTCTCATGTCTGGCTCTTAGTTCTTTGTCTCCTACCCAGTTCCAGTCTCCCAGGTCTTTAGGCCACTCACCATCTCTTCCTCACCTTCTCATCTTGCTTTGCAGCTGCTTTTGCAGTCTTTCTCTCTGCATCCGCTTCTCGCTTCCTTTCCTCATTTCCCAAAATTAGTGAGAGACTTTATTGACTTGACTCTAGCAAGGCTCTGCTGAACATGACAGACAACTTGGCCCAATTTGCACTGGAATTTGTAAGACTGGCAAAGCAAAAATGATTGCCCTCTTCCCTAGAGGCCACGTGTGGGGGGCTGAAGTATCTTTTAAGATACTTAATTGAAGTATCTTCATCAAAGTAAAGGCCATCAGAATTTACCAACATGCACAAATTAATTTTCTTCTGTGGCCATTCTCAGAAATGGCACTCAGGAAAATGTTTATCCGGACAACGGGGTGTGATGAAGCTAGACGTACTGAGAGTAGTCCTACCATGCAGCACCATGTCTTAACATCAGCACCCTGTCAGGCTGCTGCTCGGTGAATTTTTCACCTCTTTGAAAGTCAGAACTGACGAGCGAGAGGAGTCATGCCAACGTGTGTGTTAGGATACCTCCGGATTCCTCCACCTCACCTCGCTTCTAACTCAGTCTGTGTCTAGTTAGGATTCAATTTTACATTTAAACAGTTAATTTCTGAGTCAAATAACCAACATACTGTTATTAGAAGATCCTGAAATGATCAAATGGAGTGTGAAAATGTTGCATTTCAACTTTGTTGAGCCACTTCCTCATTCAGAAGCAGTTATGCTTTATGTTATCGCCCCAAAATATCATAGCTCATCAGGCTATGATATTTGTCACTTGTCAAGCTTAAGAGATGAAAAATATGGATCACTTCCTGACATTTTTCAACCTCTTAAAAATCCTAACACATCTATTTTGTTTATTTTATAGAACTTTCTGGTTCTAGGTCAATTGTCAATAAAGCCTTCTTATTTAACCCTTTTTTTATATTTTGGATAACTAAATATTTCATTGTGTAGAGAGATAAAAGATAATAACATTTTACACTGAAGATTTGAGAACTCTGAAGGGGAAACAAAACCTGCAAAAATTCTCTATACTACACTTAATGCCCACATGTGTGTATGTGCGTATGTATGTACATATAGGTATATATGCTAATCTAAAATCCAAATAAATTGAGTTACTAATCAGTCTGTTGATTGCTGTCAGACTTTAAGTATATTTTAAGTGCCATTATTCTTCACTCTTCTGGTGTGATATGTTCAGATGTGAAAATCACTTTACATGACTTCTGTTCTTCAATAGCTTTAAGTCAGTTTCTTAAAAAAAATGGGATTGTATGTGAGTCTGTGCTTCTGTCTGCAGGAATTGGAAACAAAATTTTAAGATACGACTGGAATAATACGTTAATTGAAATAATTGGGGGGGTTGAGGTTTTCTTTATCCAACCCATGATAAAATTTCACGCTAGGGTTTGACCCTTCGATGCAGACTAGCTAGCTTAAATACTCTGTTTTTTCTTCTTTACATGATTTCAGGAGTCTCATGTTGAGACTGGCTGTAATTTTAGCAGACTTAATACTGTGAAACAGCTGGGGAGCAGAAGCCATATATCGAGTTGCCATTTGTTTTTCCTTCTCAGTTGTGTGTATGTGTGTGAGTATTCAACTGTTTTCACAGACTTTAAGCAAGCATTTCAGACAATGTTTAGGATGTATCTCAGTTGCTGTGAATAAGGTTGCTGGATTTGGATAATGTTATAGAATTCTTTTCTTTCTCTCTCTCTTCCTTTTTTTCTTGTAATGCTTAGTTGGTAAGTATGATGCCGGATTTCAAAGCTGTTGCTTCATTGCACATAACTAACTCATCACTCTCTTTAACCTGTAGCATGAGCAGCAATTGCATAATGAAATTCGAAATTCCGTTTTCTGTGCTCATCTGTTAATACCCTTCAATCTCTGCGGTTCGTGTCTCATGTCTCACACCTGTTATCTTTTATCTTTTCTCCTCCCCCTTCCTCACTTCTTTCCACTCCTCCTTCCTCATCACTTCTTCATTCTCAACAAAGAAAGAAATGCTGTGATATTTCTTCTCCTTCCAAAACCTCCACTAGAAAGCATTGGCCACATCAAGGTAAAGGGCAAAGGCTTGAAACGGAAGGTCTTTCACGCTAGCTGTGAATGGTATGCTGTGCAAAACAACAACGGTTATTTTCTATTCTCTAACTTCCACCATTTGAAATGCTTTAATTCCTTGTAAAATTAGAACAAGATAGAATTTCAGAAACTGAGACTGCATGTTTCCCTGCCTGCCATTTCTATAAGGCACAGTGAGTCAGGCATTATCATGCTTTTCCAGATTGTTTGGCAATGAAGTACCTAGTTCATGAACAGAATTACTGTCACCAGCTAGGGAACAAATAACAGCCCTTTCTCCTCCCTGTCGCTTTGATGGGTCATGTCAGTTTGAAAAAGATGGAAAGCACCGTGCCGTGCCTCTGGAGCAGGCAGGTGATGGACCAGGGTGAGGAGCATGGCCAGGTCACTAAATCACTGAGGTTTATGACAATACGTTTTAAATGTACTCTTCTTGCCTGGTGACCTGTGATTTTATTTTAGAGGAATCTTTCAAAATAAATCATGATCAGTTTTGAGTGGGTTTTGCACCCCTTATAAGTAAAATGTATACTGAGGGAGAGAGCTCTTCAGTTCTGATTATTGCATTATTATTTTAAAGAATTGCCAGTAGTAGCATGATGTGGAAGAAATAGCAAGTGATATTCTGGCTCACTGAAGTCAGCAGGGGTTTCCCCATTGACTTCTGCAGGACTAAGCTTCTGTCCGTAATTTACACAGGTCAGAAGCGATCAGTGGCGACTGAGGTAATTGAGTTCAGTCAGGCTGTCAGTCTCTGTAAATGGCTAATTAAAATGCAGTTTAGTTCTGTGGGTGTGAGTTCATAGTGTTAATTTTCTGTACGCGGAAAGGAGAATGTAATTTTGATTTCATGTTTTCTCCTTTTCCTTTTGTATCTCTATGGAAGAAGGTTTTGAGATGGGCTGTTTGTAAGGGAAGAGCCGTGTCCTCTTGCAGCGAGGGCGCGGGGCCCACCGGAGCATAGCTCTGGGTGCTGGGCTCAGGAGCTACATACCGTTATCTCAAATTCATCTTGTTCCTTTTACAAAGAAGCGTTAACGTATAGTGCATCCAGTTAGTATGATCTGTTCAAGCTTCTGCCTTGTGGGCCCTGTAGGAATTTGCCTTTCGAAGCACTGACTAAAGTTGGGATGGGAGAAGGTGTTTTGCTCTCCCAGCCGGCCCCCGATTCGCTCCACCTCCTCAGCTGCATTCCTAGAGCTCCCTTCATGCGCAACGAGCTGTTAGCAACCTCCATGCTCTCATTAAAGACTGGATCCTTCTGGGTTGTGGTTTGAATAAGGAATCCCCATCCCTGCGAGGGAACTGGAGGTGCTTGTTCTGCCGGTTGGCGGGAGAATGCCCCCCAGTTCAGCGCTGCCTCGGCTGCCGAGAGCGAGGGGGTTCCGCAGTCCCGTAGCTCAGTGGTTTCTGGCATCATCTTTTCTCTAGAGGCGGATCTGTGGCAGTTGCTAGCTCCACGTGCACTGCCAACACCCACAGCTGGTAAAGGGCTAGGAGATGCTGTGGGAGTGACAGCAGCACTGAAATTCCTCTCTGCCCCCTGCGAATAGATTCCCGCGCTGTGAGCGCGGGCGGCGGCACTGACCCGTCTGGTTCTTGCTGTCCTCTGCAGGCTTCTGCCCAGAGACTCAGCCGGGAGAAACTCCAGCAGCAGCAACAGCACAGGTGGATGGAACAGACTTAGCCTCTCCAATGTCTCCTCGGACTAGCAAGAGCCGCATGTCCATGAAACTGCGCCGCTCCTCTGGCTCAGCCAACAAGTCCTAAGTGGCGCGATGCCTGCAGCTTGCTAGTGAACAGCGATCGGCCACCCTTCCCGCAGCCGCGCGCCGCTTTCCGTTAAAGGATAATGTCTCTAATGTGTGTGTGCCCCTTCCCTGCATACCCCTGTTCTGTACGTTTATTTTAAACAGTGACACTGGAATTTTACTTTAATGTTTTAACTTTTGGGGGTTTTTTATCAAACTCCAGGCTGCCTTTTTTTTTTTTTTTTTTTTTTTTTTTTTTTTCCCCCCTCTGCAGTGCAGTTTGTCCTCTGCACCTTTTACCTTCCTGGATGATTACGATATCTTAACAGTACTCATTTTTAACTCTGGTTGATCTCGAGTCGTATATGGAATTGGAGACTGCAGTTTGATTACACTATATTTATTGTGCCCCATTGCAATTTTCTCTGTAACAAAGAAAGAAATATGTACAACTTGAAAATGAATGTACAATTTTAAATTGAAGTTGCATTTGTAAAGTCTTTGTCAGATGTCACAATGTTAATGCACAGGATGTGTACAGATTATTTATGTTAGGAATAAAATAGTTCAACGGCCTTTCAAGCATTACAGAGTCCAAACGAAATAACTTGCTCGTAGCACCAACTCTTTCTTCACAAAGCAACTATCATTTCATAACTCTGCAGGTGATGCCATAATCTATGCCAGAAAAACAAAACAAAAAAAATCACTGTGCTGAAATTCTACTTATGCTTGGCTTCCAAATATTTTTATAATGTTTTGCTTTTCCAAGTGGTATCAATAGTAAATGCCATTGAGTTTCATGGTTTTTAGCCTTTATCACCGGGCTGGGTCTAGATGTATATTCTTGTTTCTTACATTTAAAAAAAAAAAAAAAAAAAAAAAGCACTCTCCTCATAGAAATTCATTGCTCTGATGATGTGTACTAGGGAAGAAAAGGAAACATGTTCCAGGAGCCTGGCCTGAAATGCTGACGATTCCAACCCCGTGAGTGCAGATTAGTACACGCGTTCCACCCTCCCAGAGATATTTTCCTACAGAAGATGAAATGCTCACATTTTGAGTCTGGCAAACGACAAAATGCTGTTAACAAAATGTAGCATGACATCGGTACTAACTGCATGTGTAAATATATCATATGGGCAACAATAAAAAGATAAATTACGTATTGTCATTCATGGAGTATCTACAAATTTGTAATGGTTGAAGAGAAGACATGCTATTTAATAATACAATAAAATTATTCTTACCACCTTTTGTATATTAGTCATTCACCTCAATGGTTAGTTTCTTACTCCAATTTATAGGAGAATAGCATATTACACGTGGAGCAGTTAAGTGTGATACACAGCCTAGTTTTCATTTGTATTAAAAAGTACACACGAGTTCTTAGGAACTCTTTAAGAACGCCGTACTGAAAACTTTTCCCCAGAGCTAGTAAATACAATCCACATAGCTCCGCAGGTAATGCAAAGTGCTGGACGTTCCCTCCTGCAGGCTGGTTGTTCGAGTGCTAATTGTAGGAGCAGTTAATAATCATCAGGTTTCTGTGGTCCAGAGCCCTTCGTCTTTGACTGTACAAGTGGAGAAAGGAGAGCGATGATTTAAAAAAACACAGTGACCTTCTCCAGGGGACAACTCATTTAATTGCATAAATGGGCATTTTTACCTAAGTCTCCGTGACCAACAAATGATGGAAAAATGCACAACTTAAAATAACACGCTTTATTTCTGGCATATGAGAAGAGTGAGCTGCCAGTTTAGCCTCCTTCGTCAGGCAGCAAATCTTGGCTGCTTTAGGTTATATTGTGTTAATTCATTTGTCCAGGTCCTGGAACTAAAATGAGAAAGTCTGTAAAGCACATTTAAAATAAAGCACTCATCGCTTGCTTTCAGCCTTTGGGTGTGACACACGTGAATATTTGCCTTGCGTAACAAAATAGAAAGGCACAGAAATAATTGCTTTAGAGGATGCTAATCAAAAGATTGAAAATATTTTGCATGCTCATTTCAGAGAGAGTGTCAGAACAAAGACTACGGCTGGGATCAATTCGGTTCTTCAGAAACCGCCAGCTGACCCACTTTGCCCTGCTGAATTGAAGAAAGGCATGAGCTTTGTTTTAAATCCTTTATTGAATTCGCCTGCCCTTATTCTTGGCCTCATCTGCTCTCGCGTTTAGAAACAAGCACTTAACGTGTGGGGGGGAAAAAAAAAAAACCAAATAAATAAATAAATAAATAAATCCCGGCTGAAATGTCAGTAGCTGGTAAATTCGACGGTATTTCGAAGCATTCGGCCAGGCCACCGTTAAAGCCAGGGAACATGCACCGCGGGTTGCTTTGCTAACGGTGGGTCTCCTTAGGGAGAAGGCAGGCAGCCGGTCACCTGCGCTTCAGCAACGTATCAAAAGACTGTTCCGTGTCCTAATTCCAGCTGTTCACAACACTCGGAGGAGCTCACGGGGGAGAGGGGCCGGAGGCCATCCGAAAAGGCCGCGTGCGGACAGGGACCCCTCTGCCTGGCGAGACCGACGCGCCCTCCTTGCTGTCGTGCGTGCCGCACCAACAGGCCCCTAAGGGAGCGGTTTTCGAAACGGGGGGCGCGCGCTTTGCCTGCCGCACGGTCGCCAGAGTACAGAAGCAGAGAGTGAGCGGGAGATGCGTACTTAGCTATAGAAGACCAACAGCTCGTATTTTAATTAAGCAGACAGCACGATTAATTTTCCATACGTTTTGCTAGCTATTATATGACTCGACATTGACTTAATAGGAACGTTTACCTTCTCGACTATCTTAGCACAGAGTACAGCAAACAAAACACCTCACAGTGACTTAAATGTTGAAGCTCGGGGGCTAAGGCTATCAAAACAAGGTCACTAGATCAGGCTCCTTTTCTCACGAAAAATAATTCCTCTCTTTAAATATCGTATGTACA